AACCCTTGTTCTCTCGCGGCTGTGCGATCGATACTTTCCCGCTAACGACTAATGGTTATCCCTTTTCTCTTGCCCGAGCGCATTTGAGACCAGATCGTAGTTGTAGGTTCCCGAACCTTTGAGACCAGTTTGTTTTCTCACTGCTGTGTGAGAGCGCCAGTTTACCCGTAGGTAGTCGAACTACGTTTGCTCTGATCTTCCATGCTGTGTGGAAGTACGTAGGCACAGGACGCGATGTCCTGGCGAGCAACCTTTTCCCCGTTTAGACGTAGGTAGTCGAACTACGTTGACTCTGACTCTCCCATTGCACGAGGGAGTACGTAGGCCCAGAACACCGTATGTTCTGTCGAGTCCTGTCCTTTTATTTTCTTTTCAGACTAGCCATTAGCGTAGATAGATAAACACCCTTTTCCTTATAAACACCAAGCGTGGATCCCATCGAGTACGATGGACGTGAGGGGTGCTAATACCTTCCCCTTGCGTAACCGACTCCCGAATCCAGGTTTTGGTTGCGATGACCATACCTTTTCCCGTCCTTGCGAGGTTTACTTCGAGCGTTTCCTTTCCCGCTCTGAGGGATAAATAACGCACGGTGGCGACTCTCCTGTCAAGCCGGCGCCGATTTTCGCAGTAGCGACACACATCATTAAAGTCGATACTTTCTTTCTGAGTGAACCCCATAGTAAACAACCTTGATTTAAACCGCTTCGACATCATTCCTTCGATTCCTTCCTTAACCTTGAAGATCCACTTACAGCCGACTAACCTAGCCCCTGTAGGTTTCTTAATCATCTCCCAAGTGTTATTATCATGAAGAGATTTCATCTCAACATCTATAGCTTTCATCCATTCGATCTTATCTTGACTCATCATAACTTCCTTATAGTTTCTAGGTTCTTAATCAAGAACCTGACTTGCAGAGATTAAGGCATAAGTTATAAGATCTGCATAGCCAAGTCTCTGGGGTAGCTTGATGACTCTTCTCGACCTATCTCTTTCCAGCAGGTAGTCATTATCAGTCTCGCCAGCTTCGAGAGTAGCTTCTAGATCTTCTTCGACTTCATTTGAGTCATGCAATTCAGTATCATTATTCTCCACGTCAACAGGAATCTCTTCTTTTATCTAGCTCTTCTATAGAGATCTTTGAAATTTGACCAATGTCATCAGTTTTCTTGAAAGTCATCTCAGTTTCATTGAAAATTACATCTCGACTTGTGATACTCCTCTCATGACTTGGCTCTAAGCACCATAACCTATAAGCTTTGACTCTTTCAGAGTATCCAAGGAACATACATCTTAAAGCTTTAAGTTCTACCAACCTTGTCTTGCCTAATATGAGTATAGGCTAAACAACCAAATACTTTAAGTATGTAGAGACTAGGTGGATGTCTTGATGAAACTTCTGTAGGTGTCTTCATTCCCAAGGCTGTCGAGGGACATCTATTTATCAAATATGCTGCAGTTACAACAGCTTCTGCACAAAACACCTTATTCAATCCTGCACTTACCAACATGCACCTCACCCTTTCTAGAATAGCTCGATTAAACCTTTCAGCCAAACCATTTTGTTGGGGAGTCGTTGCAGTTGTTTTGTGTCTTGCAATACTAGATGCAACATAATAGTTGTCAAAAGCCTCATTGCAAAATTCAAGACCATTGTTGGTCCTCAACCTCTTGACATTCCCACCAGTTTTGTTTTCGACCAGAGTCTTCCAACTTTTGAAATTTTCATCCTTAGTCTTCTGGATGAATACCCATAACTTTCTGGAGCAATAATCAATTATGGATAGAAAATACTTTGCACTTGAGTATGAAGGATTCTTTGCAGGTCCCCAAAGATTAGCATGAATGTAACCAAGGGATTCATGTGTTCTTTGTTTACCTTTCTTAAACTTCATTCTATATGATTTACCAAATACACAAGGTTCACAAAACTCCAGTTTTTCAACCTTGTCACCACACAACATATTTTGTTTCGATAACCCGACAAGCCATCTTTCACTAACATGTCAAAGTCTCTTATGCCATAGCTCATTCTTTGAAATAGGTTTCGTGGATGTAACATTTACTGAACCACTTATGATCTCAGCCTCAAGGGTATACAAGCCTTGTTTCTTCACGCCTCTCAAGACTTTCTTCGACCCCTTCATTACCCTTAGGATGCTTGGCTCTCCTTTAAAAACATATTCTTTCTTGTCAAATTCACCAAGAGAAATCAAATTCCTCTTAAAATCAGTTACATACCTAACATCAGTCAATAGCCTTATTGATTCATCATGAAACTTGAATCTCACAAATCCAATACGTTTGATTTTGCAAGATTTGTTGTTTCATAACAACATTGATCCACCATCTTGATCACATTATTCCTCAAACATGTCTTTGTTTGGAGTCATGTGTCAAGTATGCCCTGAATCCATAATACACTCCTTGTTAGAGTCACTGCTTGAAACCACCAAGACATCAGATGATTCATAACCATCTTATACAATGGTCACACTACCATTATCCTTTCCACCATGATTGTTCTGTTGATCAAAGCATACTTTTCTTGTATGACCCTCCTTCTTACAATGATAACACCTAATAGTAGAAGCATTACCACCATAAGAGTTTTGTAGAACTTTACCATTCTTCTTCTCAAACCTACCATCTTTCTTCAAGAATTTCTCCTTAATGGACAAACCTTCACCAACAGAAGATGACTTGTGCTCATTTTGTTCGTTCAAATCCTTAGAGTACAAGGCAGATTGAACATCTTCAAAGGTCAACGACTCTCTTCCATACAAGAGAGTTTCTTTGAAGTGAGCAAGAGACTTAGGTAAAGAACACAATAATAGCAACACTCGATCTTCATCATCAATCTTGACCTCGATATTCTCAAGATCAAGAATCAACTTGTTGAACATATCCAGCTGCTCAGTCATGGCTTTGTCTTCATTCATCTTGAATAAATACAAATCTTGCTTCAGATAGAGACAATTAACCAACGATTTCATCATGTACGAAACTTTAAGTTTCGTCCTCACACCAACTGCAATTTTCTCCTTTGAAACCTGGAAGAGAACCTCATCACCAGGGCTCAAAACAATGGCACCGTGTGCTTTTTCGACAATCGTTGTCTTCTCCTTCTCCAATAAGGCAGTGTTCATCTTCTCCGACCCTTTCAACGCTTCTAACGAACCATATTAAACAAGAAGTACTTGCATCTTTAAGCACAACAAATTGAAATCATTCACACCGGTGAATTTCTCAATCTCATACTTTGTTGACGACATCTTCTCCTCGACGCTCACTGCACCAGTTTGTTGTAAATTAATGTCGTAAATAACAAACCAAAATATGAGAAAAAGATTGAGTTTCTTGAATAAACAAAAGAAATCCTATTAGGTTTTACAAAAGATAGAGAAGAAAGAAGAAGAAGAATAAGAATTGTTTAAAACTGTTTTACTATTCACTTACTCAATAAGGGTTCAAAGATTACAAGTAAATACCAACAATTAACCTCTCTCAACAACCTGAGAGAGCTAGTATATTTATAGACTACTAAGCTACCTTGAGTAACAAGCAAACTTAACAATTGGATTTACAAGTAAAACTCAATTCAACATACTAACTTAAACACAAAGCTAACATATTTCGATAACATGTTTGAATAGACTTTGACTACAACATGCACAACTCTTTTCGAACCAAAAAGTTATCCTGATCGACACTAGAGTTCAATCCAAATATCACAGACCAAGAAATAAATAATACTACCTCTTTGCCTTTATATAAGAGACAACTTATTTTTTAGATTCATTGAATAATCAATGTATTTGGTCAGTTTATAGACAAGATACATTGATTATTCAATGAACCTAAAAAGTGAATTGTCTCCTATAAAAAAAAAAACAAATGTAATATTTTTTTCCGCATTTTACCAATTTTGTATTTTTTTATTTTAATAAAAAAACTCGCTTTTAGGAGTAAAACTCGAATCTTAGATAATTTTAACATAAAATTAACTACAACGTTAACTAATAATTTATAACAAATTTTTGAACCAATTTTTGTATTAATTATAGATTTCGGTACCCCAAAACTTTTCCTCAAGATCCGCCACTTAGTAATAGTATTGGTGTTGGAGTATTTGTGTCTGCATCGTGTCCCTGTAGTGTTGGAGTATTTGTGTCCGTGCCTTGGTGTGTCCGTATCGTGTCCCGGTGTTCGTATTCGTGGTTCATAGATCCTCCTCAAAGTTTTTTTTATGTTTTTTCAAACAAATTTGTGTAGCACCATTGAAGATAAAAAGAAAGAGAATGTGCATGGAGTGTTCTAACTGCTCTCCCTTCAACTTTTTAAACAATTCACAAATAATAATCCTTTGGCTTTATCCAGCTTTACATTATGTACCTGCTGCAAATCCCACAAATGCACAATGTAATTGAATCCTCGATGTTATCCAGCAAAGGATTCGTCATATTCTATGATAGCCTCGGAGAATCCTAGAAAAAAACAATAAACCAATGATGTTTTTGCAGGACAATGAAACTCTTACTGCTTCTTACTTCACATTGCTCTTTTGTAACAACAATTTTTATTAAAAAAACATATGATAATGTGATGGCAAGTGCTGTGCACGCATGTTAAGCTAAGCCACCTTTTTTTTTCTGTACCACATCTCGTGAGTTATGTACGTGTATATATAACAATGGACAACAGAATGAGCATCTAAATCCATTTGTATTGTTCTGTAAGGTAATACATCTCTCAGCATCAATCCTATAGATAACATCACTTTCAAAAACAGTATCTTTATTCTTTGTTTCACCTTAAATATGTTCCTTCCTTTTCCTATATAAACCCACTAACTAGTTATTACTACTCTCATATTATCATAATATTCCTTTACTATTTCTGAAGAAACTTATTAGCATTGTTTCAGCACTGTTTCTCTCATCTCACCTTGTGCAGATTAAGTAGAAGAAAGAAGGGGAATTGAATACTTCAACTTCATGGATGTTGCACACTTTTTGTTTGGCTTATTTGGTGAGTTAACTAAGTAATGATCGCGTTTAGTTTTACCATACATTTGTTCTGTTTCTTACGGTTTCTCTTGCTTGGTTTAGGGAATGCTTCGGCTTTGTTCCTCTTCTTGGCACCGGTGTATGTATTAGACGATTCTTTCTCTATATGAACTTCTGATTAAAAGTGTGTCTGGTTTTCGATATCTGTTGTATATCTTTTTTTTGAATGTGTGTCTGGTTTTCGATTAGTGATGTTTTGAAGGAAAATTGTGACCAATTCTGTTTTTTACAGGATTACATTCAAAAGGATTATAGTGAACAAATCAACAGAGAAATTCTCAGGCATTCCATATGTTATGACACTGCTCAATTGTCTTCTTTCGGCTTGGTGAGCTAGTTTTCGTTTCAATTGACAACTTTTCACATGATAACTTATATCCTAACCAGGGACGTCTTTGAAGGTGTTCAAGACAGACTATCGGGCCAAATTTTACTACGGTTAAACAATGGCTAAATAGAAGCTCATATAATATTTGTCTTGGTTAAATTTCGGTTAATCTATACAACTTTTTCAAAAACTTGAGACAACCTGATCCTAACCTTACTTTGCATTTAATGAGTTTAATTCTTAATAGAAATTTTCAAAAGGTTTAGTTCACTAGTTGAAGAAGAGTTGTGTATGTAAGGAGTTAGTCTTTTTAGTCTCTTCTAATTTCAAACATTCACAGGTATGGTCTTCCTTTTGTATCTCCACACAACTTACTAGTATCAACAATAAATGGCACAGGAGCAGTAATTGAAATCATATATGTTTTGATATTCATCATATTTGCACCTAAAAAAGAAAAGATCAAAATCTTAGGCCTATTCGCTGCGGTACTCTCCGTGTTCTGCGTTGTCGTTTTCGTTTCGCTCTTTGCCCTACACGGCACGCCTAGGAAGATCTTCTGTGGCTTCGCCGCTTCCATATTTTCCGTCATCATGTATGGTTCTCCTCTCTCAATTATGGTAAGCCAATTCTTAAGCATTTTCACAAACAAGTTATCTGCATATTGAAACACACAATTATCACTAGTTAATGCAACACAGTTATCAAGCCAATATGCGTAACAATCTATTAATGATTTGAAATTATGTGCAGAGATTAGTAATCAAGACAAAAAGTGTGGAGTTTATGCCATTCTTCTTGTCACTGTTTGTGTTTCTTTGTGGCACTTCGTGGTTTATCTTTGGTCTACTAGGTCATGACCCATTTATTGCTGTAAGTTACTCTTTTGACTAAAGTTGCAACTTGCAAGTTAATAATTGTAGTTTCAAGAAGAAATTTTCATTATTCATTGTTCAATGATGTTATTTTAGGTACCAAATGGTCTTGGTTCTGTTTTGGGGACACTACAACTTATATTGTATTTTATATACCGTGACAATAAAGGTATTCCAAAAAAACATGGTACAACAGAGGAGAGTTCAATGGAAATGGGCAATGGAAAAACACATCAAATGAAACAGTTCAATGCAAATGAAATTCAAGGGTGACATTTCAAGGACATTGTGTCTTTCAAAACAATATATGTGGTTTTCCGCTACATAATATGTAGCTGCTTCTTTGGTTCCTCTTATTGATGAGACATATATGAGTGAGTGAGTTTCTCTTAAGTGATGATCTTTTTCCTTGTAGCCTAAAAAACAACTCTTGAATGTAGAGTACTAATTGTTGAGTTTAATTCTGATATAGTATTTGTAATAATATTTTTTATATTGATAATCTATCATAATTCTTAAATTAATGAAAATATTTGATTTTAATTATATTTAAATTTCAAATCATACACTAGCACAAGGGTGCTCAACTCAACTTCAAAATTACATAAAATCTCCCCTTTGAACAAACTAGAGTTTCTGCAATTTTAAATGGTGCAACAAAAAGCTAGACCAAACAACCAATGAAAATCAACAATAAGCTTTAACTTCAACTTCCCCTTGAAGGCACAATAACACCAAACCTGTTTGTAAATCCAACTCCACGCCAAGCCAATTGGAGAATTTCTTCTCATACAAAGTAGTAATAACACAAGACACAAATAGGTGATTCAAGTCCTCTTCTCCATCAAAACACAAAAAAAAACAAATTATATTATGAATTCCTTTGATAACTGTGGTATTTTAGATTGAACTATAGTCTCGACTATAATAGTTTTATATTTTGAAAATAAAGTGTGCATGTTGTAGTTGAAAACTGTTCAAGTATGTAGGAGTTGATGATGTGTGTGTTATAGTCGAAACTTGTTTTAGCATGCAGTTGTATAAGTTAACTTGTTGTTTAAGTTAGTGTTTAAGTTAACTTTTAGTCTATAAATAAGCTACTCTTTCAGATTTTTGAGAGAGCCTTAAACATTGATTGTTGTTATTCACTTGTAACCTTTTTTCCTAATTGAAAAAGTGAATAGAAAAAACGGTTTTAACCAATTTTTATTCTTTTTCTTCTTCCTTATTCTCTCTTCTTCGTAAACCTAAAAAGATTTTTTGTGTTTGTTCAAGAATCTTAGTCTTTCTCATAGTTTTATTCGTTTTTGGTGTGGCGTTTATCACAACAAATTGGTGCGGTGAGCGTGGACAAGATGTCGTCAACGAAGTATGAGATTGAGAAATGCACCGGTGTGAATGATTTTGATTTGTGGCGCTTAAAAATGCAAGTCCTACTAGTTCAGCAGACTTTGTTAGAAGCGTTGAAAGGATCACAGAATATGGATACTTCCATAACAAAGAATGAGAATACGACCGTGATCAGGAAGCCCACAATATCATTATATTAAGCCTTGGTGATAAGGTTCTCTAGAAGGTCTCTTATGATAAGACGAAAACAGGCTTGTGGAGCAAATTCAAAAGGTTATACATAACTAAATCACTAGTAATTCTTAAGTACTTGAAGCAGACTCTGTATTCATTCAAGATAAGTGAAGATAGAGTCTTGATGGAGCAGTTGGATACGTTCAACAAGCTGATTCTTGATATGGAGAATATCGAGGTTAATATTGATGATGAAGATCAAACGCTAATATTGAGGTGTTATTTACCTAAGTCTCATGCTCATTTCAAAGAAAAAACCTTGCATGGAAGAGATTCCCTGACCTTTGAAGAAGTTCAATCAGCCTTGTACTCTAAGGATTTAAACGAAAGAAATGAGCATAATCCATCGTCTTTTGGTGAAGGTTTGTTCGTTAAAGGGAAATTATTGAGGAAAAATGGCAGGTTTGAGATGAAGAAGGGTTAATTCTTGCAAGGAACGGATTGCAGGTTCCCATTACACTTGGCACATGACTCCAAATAAAGGCGTGTTTGAGGAATTATGTGATCAAGATAGTGGATCAGTACTGCCGTGAAACAAAAAAGCTTGTAGAATTATCGGAATTAGATCTATGAGATTCAAGCTCCATGATGAGTCAATAAAGTTATTGACTGGTGTCAAGTATGTACCCGACCTTAAGAAAAATTTGATTTCTCTTGGAGAACTCGACAAGAAAGGATATGTGTTAAAGGGAGAGGGAGGTATCTTGAGAGTCATGAAGGGGTCGAAGGAAGTCTTGAGAGGTATAAAAAAACAAGGCTTGTATACCCTTGAGGCTGAGGTTGTAAGTGGATCAGTAGATTTTGCATCTACACAAATCTGTATCAAAGACAGAACTGTGGCACATAAGATTGGGTCATGTCAGTGAAATGGGTTTTGTTGAACTAGGGAAACATAATCTGCTGGAAGGTGACAACGTCAAAAAGGTAGAATTCATTGAACCTTGGGTGTTTGATAAATCTTGCAGAGTGAAGTTTAACAAAGGCAAGCAAAGAACACATGGATCCCTTGATTACACTCATGTTGATCTTTGGGACAAGGAATCATTAACACTCAGGTGCAAAGTATTTTCTATCCATAGGTTATGATTATTCTATAAAGTTATGGATTTTCATCCAGAAGACTAAGGATGAAACTTTGAAAATTTCAAAAGTTGAAAGACTCTGGTCGAAAATCAGACTGGAAAGAAGGTCAAAAGGTTAAGAACTGATAATGACCTTAAGTTTTGTAATGAAACTTTTAACTGTTACTTTAATATGTCTGGTATTTCAAGGCACAATACTATTGCGGCTTCTTAGCAAAATGGTCTGGCTGAGAGATTCAATCGAACCATCTTAAAAAGGGTTAGATGCATGTTGGTTATTGCTGGATTAAAGAAGGTGTTTTGGGCTGAGGCTATTACGACTGCAACATACTTGATAAACATGTGTCCTTTGACATACTTAAAGTATTTGATTGTTTATCTTATGCTCACATTAGGTAAGACAAGGTCAGACTTATAGCTCTAAGATGTATGCTTCTTGGATACCTTGAAGAAGTCAAAGCTTATAGGTTGTGGTTCCTAGAGCCGGGTCACATGAGGTGTATCACAAATTGAGATGTTTTCAATGAAGCAGAAATAACATTTAATAAAACTGGTGACGTTGGTCAAAATACAAAGATCTCTACACAGGAGCTGGAATAAGAGGATTTTCCTATTGAGGTGGAGCATGTTGATGCTAAATTGCATAACCTAGATGAAATCGAAGAAGAAGAACACATTACTAATGAATATGAAGAGATTGTTGATGACTACCTTTTGGAAAGAGACAGGTCTAGAAGAGTCATTAAGCCACCTCAAAGACTTGGTTATACATATCTGATAGTTGTTTCCTTAATTTATGCAAGTGAGGTTCTTGATTAAGAACCTAGATATTAAACGAAAGCTATGAGGAGTCAAAACAAGACTGAATGACTGAAATCCATGAATGATGAATTAAATTTTTTTCGTGATAACCATACTTAGGAGTTGATCGAGAAACTCGTTGGAGCCAGGTTAGTCAGCTATAAGTGGATTTTCAAGGTTAAGGAAGAAACTGAATAACAGATGTGTGTGTGTCCCCCTACAAGGCCAGGGAGGATTAAAGGCCCTAGTAGGTCTATTATAAGTTAGTTTGGTGAGGGTTAGCTCTCAGCAGTGAGTAGCCCTTTATGGTGTTTTTTGAGGTTATTTGAGGGACAAACTCACGTGAGGTGAAAGGCCTTGATGGTGGTCAGTGCTGCTGGTTTGTAGGCGGGCGCTTAGCTTGACGATGTTGAGGATACTAGAAGCATGGAACTTGCTGAGTAGTAGTAAATTAAGGATCTCCATGTTTTCTCGCTGCCTAAGAGAGATATTTATAGAGACCTTTCTTGGACCTGGGTTGTAAAGTTAGTGGGAGGTTATGCCCACCTTCATGACCAAGGAAATGGTCAAGGGAAGACTTAGTCTTCCTAGAAACATGGAGGGAGTGGTTCTCTCTCTTAAACGACTCTCATTTGTTAGTCATTATGGGCCCATATCATCACCCACGTCTACTGGGCAATTAGGACAATGGGAGCCCAATCAAGCGGGCTATATTACTGCATATGTGATACCTTTATGCCCATTATTGGTGGCCAGTTGCTTCACTAGGCGCCTCGTCTCTCTTCTTCTTAATGACCTTGCTCGTAAGCTACCCCTCGTTAAGGCCTAGTAAAAATAAAACACTATATAGTCCCTCGGGCACGAGGTTTTTATATAGAGTAAAGTGTTTAATAGAATTTCCATTAGGGGAGCTTATGCTTATAAGAGATTCTCTCATATGAGCCTACCTGCCGAGACTATCAGTCGTGTCCTTCAGGAGAGACTTCATATCGAGTCCCTCATACAATACTTTATGTTGAGTCTCTTAGGCTTATGTAGAGTCTCTAAGGCAATACTTTATGTCGAGTCCTTCATTTGAGGCTTTATGTCGAATATCTTAGGCAAGACTTTATGTCGAATCCCTCTTACAAGACTTCATGTCGATCTTCTTAGGCGAGACCTTATGTCGAGTTTCCTAGGTGGGAATTTATGTCGAGTCCCTCATTCGAGACCTTATTCCAAGTCTCTTAGGTGAGACTTTATGTCGAGTATCTTAGACGAGACCTTATGTCGAGTCTCTTAGACGAGAATTTATGTTGAGTCCCTCATTTGAGACTTTATGTCAAGTCTTTTAGGCGAGATTTTATGTCGATTCCCTCATACGCGAATTCAAATCAAGTATCTTAGGAGAGACGTCATGTCGAGTCTCTTAGGCGAGACTTTATATTCGGTCCCTCATACGAGACTTCTTGTTGAGTCTCTTAGGAGAGACCTTATGTCAAGTCTCTTAGGTGAGACTTATATATTATGATCGATTGAGACTCGAAGCCTCTCAGGCCAAGAGTTTAATCTTTTGGACGAGACTTCTATCGAACCCCTAGTCAAGACTTGTGACTAAGTGTTCGGGGCTGGATATTCGTCGTTCCTCTTAGGCCTGATTCTTAATTTTGGTCCCACCCGATGAGATACAAAAGTCCCTCAGGAGAAAGTTGGGTTAGCCTGAGGATTCTAAGTCCCTTAGATAATGTATCACATAGCCTAGATGGTAAGACACTGAGTCCCTCAAGCGGGGCGTAAAACCTTTCAGGTGGGACTTCCATCGATCCC